TTTGCCGTGAGGTGTGTGCTTACTGGGGAGTCAGTTCGTTTCGTAACACTGAATAAAAATAATGATAGATGAAATAAACTAATAAATAAAATGAATTAATAAACAAAATAAAATAATAAGTAAAATAAATTATTAAACAAAATAAATTAATAAGTAAAATAAATTAAAATATAAAATTACTTAAGATCAGTATAGTGTAGCGGAGAAGTGGAACCCATATTTGTCTGAAGTATAGATAAACTCCTTGAGAAGGCTTAAATTTAAAGTGAGATTCAATTTCCTAAAAAAGGAATTTTTTAAAAAGAAAATAATAATCTCCTCCCTGAAATAATAATCTTCTTATACGTCTAATTAAAGCAAAATTAAAATAATTTTTTCTATGTCAATTGAAAAAATGCACAGAAAAATGTACGTACGGAAAAATTTTACGTAATGTTTTAAATAAATAAAAATGTACGGAAGAAATCAGTTTATTTAAATTTAATTCTGAAATCGATCAGTAATATTATTTTCTCTTACAATTAATTTAGAATAACCAACTTTTATAAAAAACTTTTCAACAATACTTAGCATTGAAACTTTTTCAACAATAAATTAATACAGAGTTATATAAAAATTTTATGCAAGATATTATTTAAACAATTGTTCACATTGTTGCAAAAGATGCATTTGTTGGTTCGATTAAAAGAGTGTTTTTTTACTCATTCTTGTTTGAGATTTCTCAAATGCTGGTTGTCTTTTGTGAGATTAAAAAGTGAGAATTATGGATAAAAGCGATTTATATCGCTTTGCTCTTTTGAATCATTGGAGAAAGGAAAGGGAAAAATATCCCCGACCTAATCGTAAGTATAAAATAATACTTTTTAATTTCCATTATTCCATTCCATTATAACCATCACTGCGCAGTTTAATAGCTCGAACATAGAGAAAACGTTCTTATTCTTGGATTCCCTAAAATCGCCAATACTGATGCCAATGCTGCTTCAATAATTTTGGTAATATGAGCTACCTACAATGTGGTAATGGGATCTAAATCTACTAATATTAGTGTTTAGTATAATAAGCTTCTTAAGACTCTCCTAAAGGGATAAAATTGCTTTAATGTGGTAAGTTTTGACAATGAAGACTGAGTCTTTTGGTAATTGCACAATGTCAAATGACACTGAGTATAGTTAATATTCATATTGAATTTTTAAAAGCGGGTTTTGCTTAATATAAGAACGTTAAGTCACCGGGAAGCTCCAAGAGTAAATATATATTAAAATTAATTAAATAAAAATTAAAGAAAAAATGAAATTATTTAAGCTTCAATAAATGTGTCGGTATATGGTTTTCAGTTCTGCGCATGATTAAGCAGTGTTGATTAATACCGTTTATTGATTATTTACATTTTTACAGCGTACGAAGAACAACCATACCGCTATTTTTTTTATTTATTTTTCAAATTTTTAAAGTTAATTTTAATTAATATTTCAGCATATGAGGATGGTACCGAATTCGAAGATGAATTCGATGGGGATGATTTTGATTCGGAAGAGATTGATTGGTAAGTAGTTATATCTCTAAAGTTTTATGCCTTTTGTCTTAATTTTCTTTCTTTCTTTTTTTCAATAAAAAGGTACCCTTTTGAGTATTTGAAAAATTTACTCAGAAAGCAAGAACGCAATTAAAAACAACGAAACATTTAACCCTTCGTGGTTGAATTAAGTTTATACATGGGTGTCATACTGGTCAGAATTAATTTTTGGTACAGTAATACATGCAAAATTTATTAATTCTTTTTTAAACTTTAGATATATGTAACACAATAATATATTTTCATTTTATGTAAAAATTATATTTTATAGTTCTCGCGTGGTATCATTCAAAGCAGTCTCCAATATGATGCACATGTTTTCGAGAGTCAAAAATGATTAGTTTGGCGTCTTCCGCCTTTAATTTTTCTGTTTGAACATACAGAACAATCTTTACTCTTTACATCTTCTCAGTGCCGCATTCTACGTAGTTTGACATTACGATGCGGCTAACATCTTTACTGTGGGGGCTGAGCTGAGACATATAACTGAAATGGTAAAAAAGTGTTGGTGGCTGAGAGTAGACATACGACCGCAAAGGGTTAAAACAGCGGTCTTACTGTCTACTTATTTTGGTCACAAAACACTACTGCTGGGGAAAATCGACTAATATATGATATAAGCATAAAATAAAGAACTGTCTTTTTCAATAATGCTCACCCAATAATAAAATAACAATCGAAAACATATTTAAATCAAAATGTCTTAAGATACACCGTTTTATTTTCCACACTATAAACGTAAAGAAACTCTGGAAGTCGCCTTCAAAGAGCAGACAAATCATTAGAAATCACACATTTTTTTAATAAAAATCTATTACCTTCCTACAGATTTGAAAAAATATATTCCTTTTATAATTTTAGTGATGAAGAGTATATGGTGGAGTTAAGAGCTGAGGTGTCATCATCTGATGATGATGAAGTTAATGATGATGATATTGGGTATGATGATGATGAGGGTGATGATGTTGGTTATGAGGTTAAGGATGAGTTTAATGATGATGAGGGTGATGGAGTTGAGAAGCTGGATAGGTATGTTAACTAGAATGTTTCCTAATGGCAGTTTAATATTTTAGTTAAAATGATCTTCAGTGTTTGAGTTATTTTTCATCCTTTTTCAGGCGACACTTTCGTAAATATTTTAAAATAAAATATTACCATGAAATTGTAAGTGACAACATATCAGTATTTTAGTTTTATGAATCCCTATGAATCAATGGTACAGATGATTTAAAATGAATTTATTGAGCATGAACAGAATTAATGCGAGTAATTATTTAAAATATTAAAATCTTTGCATTGACAAAAAAAAAATATTTTTTTTTCAAAGGGCATTAACTTTACAAGAGTTTACTTAATAAAATAAAATAATTAAACATGCAAACGCTGAAGGAAGGACAATGTTACTCGAATAAACTAATTTTCTGAAAAGGATTTAATAATTCGTAAATAAGAACATTTTTATTCAGTAGTATAAACGATCTAAAAAATTTTATACAAGAAAAAACATTTATTTTGAAAAACTGTAACAATAAAAAAAACTGTAATCAATTACAACAGAACATATTTCTTGTAGATTTTATTTCATTATTTTATATTTTTTATGGTATTTTCTTTATAACCATGAGTTATTTTTCCAAAGTCTATTAATGGATTCCCGAAAAAAATCAAGATAAATTGAATAAAAAACGAAATGTCTGTTATATATGTTTTGAATAAAAGATGAATGAGGTAAATAACTGAATAGTAAACATAATTTTTTTAACTGAAAACTTTTCTTAAATAGTAAGTCCAATTTTGGAATATACTTATGCTTTACTTTACTTATACTTATAACTTATACTTTTGCTACTGTAATTATCACCCCTACAAAAATCTATAATGGCCATTTTCTTTTTTAATAAATAAATAATTACACATCGTGGCATTTTTAAAACATCTGTGATCGTTGATAAGTTAATAAATTCTCTCTCTTTACAAATATATCTCATCTTTAACAAAAAATTTATTGAGCAAAATAATTTTATTGAATTTTAAGTTATATATTTTTCCCCTTTTCTTTTTTTTACTTTTAGTGAGGAATTGTTCCTATTCAGCGATGTAAAAATAGCGAAACTCTATAAGATGGATTTAGTGCACGATAAGGACTCAATCGAGTACGGCATTGAGGACGATAGGTATTTAAACTTTTTCGAAACATTGCAAATATCGACATTGTCTTATTAAGATGTAAAGTAATGATTTTCATTTATGTTCATTAATATAATATATATNAGATATAGGGTAATTTATGGGCATAGTATATGAGCAGTAAGTTCTTCATTTTTAAGCTATTATATAATAGAGTATAAAAAAGAAATTAAACAGAAAACGAACATGAGCAAATCCATTTCGGGTAAATCTGTGGTTAAGAAATTTTATAACTAAAAATTAACCTTCTCCATTATTCAATAAATATTTTTTAACAAATGTTAATAATTTCTCTAAAAAATCATCGAATTTAAATGTTTTATTGGAGCTTCGACCTTTTATTTCTTCACAATTTTGAACTATCCAGTATAATATATTAATACCACACGCAAGTTTAGTATTCGATCCATTCCAATGTAAGCTAGAAATTAAATGTGGTTTTATACTTCAGTAAGAACTTAAAATATATCCGATTACCATTTATTTACGTTTTAATTTCATATTTTGTAATCTGGCCACTTTGTTAGGAAAATATATGTAAATCATTTTTGCAAGATGTTCATAAGGAGATGACCGTCGACAGTTCTCATTTATCGCTTTATGTTCCTATTTCTGTTTTATTTTGCGTTCTTCTTAATTTTTGGGTGAATTTTTGCTTGATGACGTATTATTTTTGAAACGGTTTTTTCTCTTCCTTTTTTTTTCTTTATTTTTCCTCACACTATTGTATAGATGTATTTGACTTCAGCTAAATTGATTAAAAGAATTGACCGAAAAATCATTTTGAATATTTTTAACTACTTTTAAGCAATTAGGATAAATTGATTGATGTAAAAGTTCTAAATCAGGAAATATTTGCACAAAACATATTGTCAATAAATCTGAAAAATAAAATCTCCCTAATAAATCCATCACGAAATTGTTTCTCGTTGTCGTAAATCATATAACGATTTTGATAATTACAAAGTAAAAAACGAGTATTTTGAAATTTCTACTTTAGAAAATTTATCTGAACCTAGATATCTTTTACTCTATACAAAAAGCTTATAATTCAAAATGAAACTGTTGTAACAAAACAAAAAACTGTATTTAACTTTCTAATAATGTGAGTGTTACTTTTAAATTTTAGATTGAAAAGTCGTGATGGTCCCTTAAGAGACGAAATAGATTTTTGGCAACGAAGCGATATCGAGCTTACCATCAATGAACAATCTGAAGAAAATGAGAAAGGATGCTTCAATTTCTTTTCTCGAATCTTCAGGAGATTGTTTAAGAGAAAGTAGATCACGACTGGTCTGAAAGTAAACCAAGACGTGTCTTAAAGTAAATCACGAATTGTCTTAAAGAAAATCACGACTTGTCCTAAAGTCAATCACGACTTGGCTGAAAGTAAACGAAGACTTTGCTGTAACACCTAAAAATTTATATTACTGTTTCTTTCCAAAGTCTAAAAACTGTTAATCAAGGAAATTTAATATGCAAATATTTAAACTGCTGTAAATCTTTAACATCGGTAGATTGATTATCAAATAAATTATAATATTTGCAAGTTCAAAGTGTATTTTATTTACAAATAGAGTAAGACATACATATAATTTACAATCTCTTACCAGTAAAAAATGATATTACATATTTCTTCTCATACCATGACGTTATTTCTTTCGACCAATAACCAATTTAATTTTAAAAAGGCAATTGACCTAAATTTGGATCCAAACAAAAATAATTATGATATTAATATAGAATAGCAAGAAATATCTTGTACTACAACTCTTAAATCAATTTTGGGAAGAGAAACTGTTCTTTAAACCTATTATTTCAAAACTTGGCCATACATCGATGCAATAACATACTAAACTACCACATCAAGCTGCATACTTACAAACGAACTAAAGGCTAAAAATGGAACATAATAGTGTGCATCCAATGTAAACCAATCCAATGTTCTGCAGATGCAATTCCCCCTAAACAGTGCGATATGATAACTTCTAATCCCACAACTGTGAGTTCGAAAACAATGGCGGCCTACATAATAAGTTTATTATTCAAATTTTTCCCTAGCGTAAATCTTCATAGAGAAAGCTAAGAGATGATTAGAAAATAAACAAGTTTTAAATCATTTGAAAACTTTATTATTTATTTATATTTTGAAAAGTAGTTTTCTTTGACTTATTGCAAATTTAATTTTCAAAAATTAAAACAAAATGCTTAGTCCTAATAGCACAATTCTTTAATGAGTTTGGGATTTCCAAAATCGCTTTTTTATTTTAAACTTTAAAACTTTTTTGAGAATGTATGATTTTTTTGCTGAAACTATGGCAGAATAAATTAGAAAATAATAATTCATAAAACAAATAAGGAAGTTAGCGATAAATTCTAAATGACAGGTTAAGAAAATTGTTTCGAATAAAATTATATATATATTAAATTTTCCATTGCTTTTACGATCTTACGATGTAGAGGAAATATTTTTAATTGTTTGTTTAATAAGTTTATTCTACGCACAGAAACCATTTTATATATCATCTTGCTAAATCGAGCAAATAAATGAAAAAAGAAGTGAATCAGTTTGTAAATATATAGAAAAGTTTGTAAATCTATAATTTACGAATTTGTTTGTAAACCTATAATCTTAACAGCAGTAATTTGTTTAGGGTAAAAATTGTGACTTCCTTTCTAGAAAAATTAAATGTAAATTTTTATATGCATCGTAAAATCGTAATATGAATTATAATTAAATAAAAAAAATTCTACTTTCGAGTACTTTATGCATACCACCAACATGTGGAAAAATTCAATCAAAACACACAATACTAGTCCTGGTATGTTGTTCACTATCCATGAAGCAAATGTTACTTCTTTACTCTTTGGATGAAGCCTAGAATAGAAAAATGCATGATACAAAATAATAAGTCATAACTATGGAAAAACACCTTCTAGAAGAGAGAAGGTCTTCTCGCAGATCACTGCAGTATTTTGAGCATAAACTGTGCAGTGTTTTTTTTTTTTTTTTTTTTTTTAAAAGAAAGGTGCCACAACCTTCAGTCTACTAAATTGCGCAGTGGGGCTTATTAACACTAGGTTTACGGACGTTTCTTATATACCTATCTCTACGGACACACGTCAATTTGACGTATGAAAGAATTGTGATTCTTAATTTAATAACTTACTGACTTAAAATGTTTTTTTTTTTCTTTTAAATATAAAGAAATTTAGGAGAAGATTAAAAATTAAACTATCGATTATTGAATCATATAAAGCTCCTTAAACTGTCACTATTCGTACAAATTTATAAATTAGCATCTTAAAAAAATATGAATATGGTAAGGAAAGTAGACGTGTTCCGAGGGCTCAAAAATAGACGTCCATTCTCTAGACTCGTCAATTGTGAATGAAAAAACAAAAGTGATTTGGGACAGAAATCGTAAAGTTGCCAACGAAAGAAAAATTGAAAATAAAAGTGAAGAAAAAAACTAGGAAACCTCGGTAGTTGAAAGTGAAACAGAAAATGAAAAATAAATAAAGGTGAAAAAAACAAAACTAGAAAAACAGCAGTGGTCGATCAAGGCAAATCAAGACAAAATACATTTCCACGGGCTATTTTGCAGGCGAAATATATCAGCATTTATCACCATCTTCATATTTTTTTAGACAAATAAAGTTTTATATCATCAAGTATATCTTTCTTCATTTCGTTGACCAATTATACTGCATATAATTAATCTTTCTTTTGATGAATAGAAAATAAAAATGATTTTTTTTCATTATTTACTAATTGCAGCCTACCGGAAAATGCTACAAACGATATAAAAAAAATCTAAAATTTAAACTACTGAAAATTTTTTAATAGCCTTAGCATATTCTTGACAAACAACAAGCTCAAAGGACGGAGGTTCGAGTTGGAAAAAAGGTGAGTCAGAAATCAGAAATTCGAAAAATCACTTGAACAGGGAAAACGGATAAGTAAATCGAATAAGTTTTTATTCTTTGAAAAAAATTGAGGCGTTTTTATATTTCTTTTCTGGTCTGATTATTTCTTTAATTTTAAAAGTTATTTCAGATATCAATAAATTGTAGCAGTAGTAGTTTATTTAAGTCGCACTAGAATTCGCACAATGGGCTATTGTTGACGCTTGGGATGCATCCCTGAGGAAGCTCTGAAGACATGCCATCACAATTTTGATCCCCGGTAAAGGGCATGGCTTTCCCACTTTAGTAGTCTAAGTCGAGCAGTTTAAAGCGGACCGATACCGCGCAACCTAGGTACATTCGCTGATAATGCAAATGGATCATCCACTCACTCACTGACGGCAGCCGGTGATGTTTGATTTAGGTGATCTACTGGGAACCGTATCTTACGATCAACACAGCGAGAAACAAATATAAATTGTATCTGTTGTTTAGACGGGTTTTTGTTTCTTTATCATAAGAGTGTTTCTGATTGGTTATTCGATGCATGCTTGTATACATGAGACAAACCAAGGTATAGGCTTGTAAGAGTTATGTTAAGTAGAGTAGATAGAGCATTCTCGTTAATTAAAATTTCCCCAAGTTGTTATGTGCTGTTTTTATATTCCATTCTTTTAATTAACACACTATCATTACACACGAGTTGACTTGTCATTACACTTGCTTTAATTTTTTTCAATTTATGAAATTCAGGGCAGTACTCCAAAGTTTGATTTCATTTCATTCCGTATGAATAGAATTCACTGGAGTTTATTTAGAATGATTTACTTTAATTCCATATATTATTATAGGATGACAAGTTCTCTGTAAAATTGTCGGTCAACGAATCAACAGTTATCTGTTGAAGATGACTCTTCAATTTTGCCTGCTTGTCAATTTACACTACGCCATGAACTCTATTATTCCTTTCATATTGCACGCGTGACTGCATAATCATATTTAATTACAATTAATTTATTATTTACGATTTTTTACTCCGCAAGAAGAATTTCCATTGAGTTAGTATAACAACAACGTTTTCAAAAACGGTATATCAAAAAGTGTTTTAATATTTTAAAAAGATGAATCAAAATTTTTGTACTCAGAAGAAATATCTATTAGATTCCGAAACTTGGATTTTTGCTCAGCTTCATATATTCCACAACTTGAGTGTAGAAAACTTTACAAAAAGAATAAAAAAAAAAACGAATTTTTCCATTCTATATTTTTCAGATCTGTCGAACAAATCTTTATTGATTACTCACAATATATATTTAAAATTACTTCGTTTACAAAAACAAGTACAATTATTCCTCTTGCAGCATATTTTTGTATTAAATTAAAAAAAAAAATTCTTTTAGATGAGATTCATGAATTGTTTTAAAAGAAATAATGAACAATCACTTTATTCTTATGAAAATTTATAAATTTGAAAACACTTCATGAAATAAGTTTAAGTAACAGAATCAAATGCTAAGTTAATTCTTGTAACGTCGTCAATAGTCCGCTCTGCAGCTCTAGTGAATTTGTTGTTCTCTTGCACGCAGCTTAACATCTGTTGTATAATAATTTTCTTGAATCTAAAGAGCAAAAATGGTGGCAACTAATTAACACCTAAGAGGTGCTCCACTAGACAAAGGACCAATGATAGTTCCTGGTGAAGTGAAGCCGCCACAGTGTTCGGTAACATTAATATTCAAAATTAGAGTGAAATATGATATCAGTAAAAATACTTTTACATGTAAAGCAAGATTCATAAATTTTGATGGTTTAGATACAATATTTCTTAGAATAAAAATTAGTTTGTTAATTAAATGTTGTTGTTGTAGTCATAGGCCATTAAGGCAAGGGGTGATATTGTACTTGCTTTTCCGCGGAGAACTTTTATGGCCAAGAACTTCTGCCAAACCCATACGTCTAACCAGTTTTTAGGGTGGAACCATTTATACACCCATTCAGCCACAGATCGTAATTTTGACCTGAACCAGAGAACGATCCATCGCCAATTCAGTACCCTCATAGGTAAAATTTGTTATGGGAACATGGAAGACTTTGTAGTTTGGCTGCAGAGAAAGTCTTTCTACCACAAAGCAATTAGTCATAATGATTGAAAGCATTACACAGGACTTTTTCAAAGCAGAATCCACTGCTCTCCTGATGCTGGACGTAGCCAAAGCTTTTGATCGCCTCTGGCACCAGAGCCTCATTTGCAAGCTGTTTTATCATATTTAATTTCCCTCCGTATCTTTTCTGTGAAGCCAAATTTGAAAAACTTGATATCTTTTCTATGCTGTGTGTATGTTTGATTTACAAACTAATAATTTAGGAATTCGTG